CCCCCCCCCCCCCCCCCCCCCCCCCCCCCCCCCCCCCCCCCCCCCCCCCCCCCCCCCCCCCCCCCCCCCCCGCCCCCGCGCGCCCCCCCCCGTGTTTCTTTCCCCCCCCGCCCCCCCCCCGGGAGGGAGGCGGGGGGCGCCCCGCCGGGGGGGCGCCCGCCGCCCCCCCCCCCCCGGCGGCGGGGGGGGGGGGGGGGGGGGGGGGGGGGGGGGGGGGGGGGGGGGGGTCGAAGGGCATCCGTCGGCGCTGTTTTTTTCTGTTCCTTCCCCACCTGCCAGCTGGTGAGGCACGCCATGGTCCCCCGTGCCTCCTGGGCCCGACACTCTCAGGAGGTGTACTTGTTGTAGCGGCGGGCACCGGGAGGACCCAAGATGGGTGATCCCGCACACCCCTCCCGTCTCTACTCCGGAAAAGGCCTCCGCCTTGGCACACACCCGCACCGTGCCCGGAGACAGCACACTCTCCTCCCTCCCTCCCCCTTCCCCCTCTTCCGCCCCCCTCTCCCACCCACTCCCCCCTCTCCGCCCCGCCTGAAAATTCCGCCAGATTCCAGTGCCCCTCCCCCCTCCCCTCAGGATCTGTGTAGGACCGGCCACTCGAGCCGCCGCCCTCCCCCTCCCCCCCCGCATTACCATGTCCAGTGATGCGACCGCAGCCTCCAAATCCCGGTACGGGGCTCCTGCCTTGTCCTTGCCCTTGCCCGCCTCCCTCCGTGTCATGTGCTAACGCCACCAACACAGGAGAGACACACTGCGGTCCCTTGTCGCCGGAGCCGGGTCCGGCTTGATTGCCGCGCTGGCCACCTGTCCGCTGGATGTGGTGAAAACTCGCCTGCAGTTGCAGTCTTCATCGTCCGTGGCCCCGGAGAAGCGCTACCGCGGTCCATTCGATGCGTTGGTGCGGATTTCCCGCCAGGAGGGCGTCCGTGGACTCTACCGCGGCTTGTCGCCCACCCTGGCCGGTTATATCCCCAACTGGGCCATTTACTTCACAATCTACGAGACAGTCAAGTCTCTGTGCGACCGGCACGCCCTTTTCTCCTCCACAGAGAGCGGTGGCTCAACCACCCCGTGGGCCAACCGCCAGATTGCCGTGAACGTCCTGTCGGCCGTGGTTGCTGGCGGCATGACTGCCACCGCCACCAATCCTATCTGGGTGATCAAAACGCGAATGATGGTGCGCTCGTGTCGCGACCCCTTTTCTCTCTCCCCCTCTTCCACGACACTCCATCTTTACATCCCCCCCCTCCCCCCTTTCGCCACACACGTCGCCATCCCCCCACGTTCGCCAACACCCCCCCCCCCCCCTTCGTTTCTTCCCCGAACACGCCCCACCTAGACGAGTGCCCTTTTGCCTCCGACCTCCCAATCCCGGGCAGCCGCCGGGCGTGCGATTGCATGCGATCCAAATACCGCCTATGCCTCGATCTCATCCACCGCCCAGTCTATATTCCGCAGCGAGGGCTTCTCCGGGTTCTACCGTGGCCTACCAGCCTCCTTCCTGGGCCTCACCCACGTTGCTGTGCACTTCCCCCTCTATGAGTATCTGCGGACTCAGCTTCTTGCCCACCGTGCGTCTTACTTTTACTCCCACTGTTTCTGTCCCCCCCCCCTCCCCCTCCGGTCACCGGGGCACACAAGCACATACACACATCTGCGCATGAACGCCTCACAGCCAGACTTACCACCCTTTTCCGCCTCCCCCATTTGTCCCTCCCCTTTCCCGGCCGATTTGCACAGAGGCCAAGAAGGGCGGCCCTGGTGATGATGCCGCAGCCTATCTGTCCATCTGGCAGGTGGCCATGGCCTCCTGCACGTCCAAGGTCATCGCCTCCTCCCTGACATATCCGCATGAGGTCCTGCGCACCCGAATCCAGATTTCTTCGCACCTTGGTGGCCTCTATGATGGTGGCCTCTTCCGCGCGGCGGCGACCGTCATCAATGAGGAGGGCTTCTCGGCGCTATATCGCGGCCTCGGAGCAAACCTCATGCGTGTGGTGCCCTCGGCTACCATCACCCTCGTGGCCTATGAGGTTCTGTCCGGTCGGCTCTGGTCCAATGTCTAGTCGACCAATGCCCCCCCCCCCCCCCCCTCTTCGCCGTCGTCTTTGTGACGTGTCCTGTCCTTGCAGTCTCCCTCCACCTATGCTCTTTCTTCCTCCCTCCGCCCCCTCTCTCTCCCCTTCTTCCCCGTGCCGCCGCTAGCGCACCCCTGTCCTTGCTTTTTCCCCCTCCCTTCCCCTCCTGAGTTTTACTCCTTGTAGAAAGTCCCCCCTCACTGAAATATAGATGCCTCATGGTCATTCTGTGCTTTTTCTTTTGCGCCCCAGTCAACCATTCGAGCCAGGGCCGATTGGATTAAAGGTTAACTGAACACACCAGAGCGATCGGGGCGATGATACCGGGCAGATTTAAATTCCCCCCCCCACGCTTGGCAAGCTGCATTGTCCCACGCCTCCCCCCTCCTCCCCCTCGGGACGATCTCCACCCAGCCCCCTCTTCCGCCGCCGCTTTGCGCCATCCTTGTTTTTTTTTCTCTGTCCCACCCCCCTCCAAGCCGCTGCCCACTCGCGTTCGCATGGCCATCGGCGAGTGTCTCCTCCGGGGGAGCCCCGGGTGTGCTTCTCTGGAGGGCTGCCTCCCGGCCGGTCTGCAGGGTCGCCCAGTTGATGGGCCATCCTCGCCGCAAGAGGAGTTGCTCCGCCTGGCGGCTGCACCGCTGGATGAGTCTCGACTGCTGGAAGCCACATCGACCGCCCTAGTGGCCCTGGCGCCGGGCCGCGCTACGTCCCTTACCCGGGGAGATCTGGATCTCTTGGTGGACGCTGTTCGCCGGCTACATCGGATGGCGTGCGAGGCCCTGCCAGGCCCTAGCACAGATGCCCGCTCTTCCCGCCAACAGGGTCGCCTCCTTTTGCACCTGTCGCGTTTGGAGCTCCTTCAAGCCACCATTTACCTGGCACAGGTATGTGCCCATCTGCTGAACAGCCAGCGTAGATGCCCCCCCCCCCC